TCGTCCGCCCCCAGCCAGACCCCGGCCCGGTGCCCGGCAGCGCCTCCTCAGCCTGAGAGGCGGACGCGGAGGCACCGTCGGGGCCCGCTGCTGACAAGACCTGGCCCCCGGGCGGCCGGAGGCGCCACTCGCCCCTCACCCGGCTCCCCCGTCCTGGGGAGGCGCCCACACCTTGCAGCCCCCCCAGAACCGTGTGTGTCGGGGGTGGGGGGAGGGAAGCCAGACGCGCTTGCGGGCTTGTGTGCTGTCAGGCCGCATCGAGCAGAGCTCAGCTAGGGCCCTGCCCCGCGCTAACCCCCCATCTCCTGGTCATCCTCCGAGCGCAGCCTCACGGCTGTGGCCGTAACCCTCTGGGGACTTTGCAGAGCAAGGTAGAGGTCAGCCCACTTTACAGCTGGGGGAACAGGCCAAGGGAGAGGCAGTGACTTGTTCAAGGTCACAGAGCTGCAGGGACCCCAGGGCACCCGACTGTCCACCTTGTGCCTTACCCAGTGGTTCTCAATCAGGGGTATCCAGAGGTCTTCCAGGGGGGTACATCAATTCATCTAGATAGTTGCCTAGTTTTACAACAGGCTACAGCAGTGATTCTCAAACTTTTGTACTGGTGACCCCTTTCACAGAGCAAGCCTCTGAGTGCGACCCCCCCTTATGAATTAAAAACACTTTTTAAAATATATTTAACACTATTATAAATGCTGGAGGCAAAGCGGGGCTTGGGGTGGAAGCTGACAGCTCGTGACCCCCCACATAATAACCTCACGACCCCCTGAGGGGTCCCGACCCCCAGTTTGAGAACCCCTGGGCTACAGAAAAAGCCCTAGGGAAGTCAGTGCACACTAAATTTTCACCCAGACAATGATTTGTTTATACTGCTCTATATACTATACCCTGAAATGTAAGTGCAAAATTTATATTCCAATTGATTTATTTTACAATTATATGGTAAAAATGAGAAAGTAAGCAAGTTTTCAATAATAATGTGCTGTGACACTTCTGAATTTTTATGGCTGATTTTATAAGCAAGTAGTTATTGAGTGAGGTGAAACTTGGGGGTATGCAAGACAAATCAGACTCCTGAAAGGTGTACAGTTGTCTGGAAAGATTGAGAGCCATTGCCTTAACCCAGAATACAAACTTTCAAAGTTTTGGGGTGCAGTTAAAGGTCCACATACACTGCAAAGCAAAAATAGGTCACTGTTGTTTACATTGCAGTGCCTACGGTTCCATGTCCGTGCAGCAACCGCGGCGGAATCTCCTTTTGGGTCTAATTTAGTAACCACTGAAAACCAGAGCTCCCATTAATTTCAACAACAATAAATAAATGAACTCCCTTCCCTGTGTTTCTCCCTAGCCCCAATGCTTATGACTCTTCACAAACACTGCAACTACAACCAAACAATATAAAAATGAATAAAATATTTTAAATGGGAGTTCCTTGGAATCTGACCACTATGTTTTATCTTCTTTGGGAGATTACAGGCCAATAGACAATGGGCAGAGAAGGCAGCACACTATCTTCTGTGTAAAAGTTTCAAATGGTTGGCTACACCCAGATACTGGATTTTAATTGTAGAATTTTGGTTTTTTATGTTTAGCGTTATGTTATTGTTGCCATCAGTATACTGGTAAATTTATGTTAACCTTCATACACTCTTTACAAATTATGCTGATTTAAAAGCAGAATCAGCACCAGCGATGATCAGAAGAAAAGTCCCTGGGCCTGGTCTTGCAAACACTATGAAGTATAGTTCTTATTGCCACATAGTCCCATTGATTTCAGTAGTAAGCAATCCCCCTTCATTCTGTCTGCATCATAAATCCCTAATATATGAGTTTTCTATCAAGAACCCCTTCTCCCCTTAAAATGTTTGCTTTTGGGGTAGCCTCCTCAAATGAATAATGTTGTGCTGTGAATTATACAATCTTGCCCTTTCGCGGTATCAGTTTTTTAAAAAATAGCATTTAGTAGCTGTCAAGGCTGTATCCCCACTTTGAACTTTAGGGTACAAGAGTGGGGGCCTGCATGAGGACTCCTAAGCTTATCTACCAGCTTAGCTTTGGTCCGCTGCCACCATCACAAGAATCCCCTCCCTGGGAAGCCTTGAGAAACCTTTCACCAATTCCCTGGTGAACACAGATCCAAACCCCCTTGGATCTTAAAACAAGGAGAAATTAACCATCCCCCCTCCTTCCTCCCACCAACTCCTGGTGAATACAGATCCAAACCCCCTTGGATCTTAAAACAAGGAGAAATCAATCTGGTTCTTAAAAAAGAAGGCTTTTAATTAAAGAAAAAGGTAAAAATCATCTCTGTAAAATCAGTATGGAAAATAACTTTACAGGGTAATCAAACTTAAAGAGCTCAGAGGACCCCCCTCTGTCTTAGGTTCAAAGTACAGCAAAACAAAGATAAACACTCTGGTAAAAGGTACATTTACAAGTTGAGAAAACAAAGTAAATCTAAGACGCCTTGCCTGTCTTTTTACTTACAAGTTTGAAATAGGAGAGACTTGTTTAGAAAGATGGGGAGAACCTGGATTGATGTCTGGTCCCTCTCAGTCCCAAGAGCGAACCACCCCTTAAAACAAAGAGCACACACAAAAGCCTTTCCCCCCCCAAGATTTGAAAGTATCTTGTCCCCTTATTGGTCCTTCGGGTCAGGTGTTAGCCAGGTTACCCGAGCTTCTTAACCCTTTACAGGTAAAAGGATTTGGAGTCTCTGTACACAGAGAGCTGTTACCCTTCCCTTTATAGTTATGACAGTAGCAATGAAAGAAATCTCCATCTATGCATCAAACAATTAAAAGATATTTTATTCTTAAAAAAAGAAAAACGGAGATAGCTAAAATATTCTATATATCCACTGACATTGAGGGGAAATCCAGGTTGGAATTTTGACTGAGAACTTAGACATGTATGCAATTCATGTTTTTTCAAACTCAAAATCAACTGTGAAAGTTGAAAAATATAAAATATAGATAAAAGAATAAAATTAAGCTGCACTGAAAGTGGTGTGTCATTTGTTATTTTGGAGTATTATTTTTTTTAAATGAGAAAACAAGATTATTTAGGAATATTAATGTTTAAGTCAAGGATTCACTGAGATGCATCCATAGTATTCATGTAGGATTTCGCATCAAGCACATTCATTATGAAAGTCACAGAACTAGACCCTTGTCTTTGCCCTAAGTAACTGCTTTTTTTAATGCTGAAGTGCAGCAAAGCAGAAGTGGGTGATTATTTTTTCCTAAACAAACATACAGCTATGGTGCGTTCAGAGTTCATGCAAAATAGTAAAAATTTAGAACAGCCAGTTCAGCTATAAAATTGAACAGAAGCCAGACCTCATTGCTTGATAAAACAAATTATGTTTTTTTAATACTATAACATGTTATTTGCTGAAATGACCACACCATGTACCCCTTGCACCAGTTATTTTTGTCTTTTTCTTTTACTCAAACATAATGTAGAATAAAAAAAATGGGCCTGATAAGAGTCCTAAGACAACATATAATTAGCCTACTGGGACAACATCTTATACTCTCTGAGTAAAGTAGATGCTTTTGAATGCTTATGAATGGATTGGAAACATTTGGGCAAATTACTCTAAATATTACATACATACATACAGTCTCTCTTAGTGCAAAGCACCACAGAGTCACATCACAATTAAAAGTGAACACAACAGATGGGAGTCTTTGGCCAGCAATCTTCCTCCATATTTCCTGGTCTTCACACAGCTTTGAGAAAAACACCATAACGCATCCTGCCCAGTTAGCCACATCATCGAACCATGTTTGCCATGAGCACCCTCCTGCCCCTGGCACCTGGCACCAGTCCTTGCAAACTTGCTTCAGCAATCTTCCTCAGCTCATTCCACCCACATGTCCTGCAAACTCAAATTTTCTTTGATCATCTTGATGATATCAGGTATCACTCCAGTTATGCTGTACATTTGGGGTACAAGGTATAGCTAATGTACAGCAATTGCCTGTAGAATTTCAATTTAAGAGACTTTCTGCCTTCAATGTCCTGTTTCCTAAGGCCATGTCTACACCAGAGCTTACAGCGGCACAGGTGTACCGATACAGCTGCACCGCTATAAGATCTCTCATGTAGTCGCTCTATTCCAACAGGAGAGAGCTCTTCCAACGACATAATTAAACCACCCCCAATGAGCGGCAGTAGCTAGGTCAGTGGGAGACGGAGACGCTCTCCCGGCGTCATAGCACTGTCTACACTGGTGCTTCTGTTGGTGTAACTTATGTCGCTCCTGTGTGTGTTTTCTTCACAACCCTGAGCAACAAAAGTTATACCGACAAAAGTGGTAGTGTAGACACAGCCTAAGCATCCATATCTCACAAACGTGTAGCAAGATGCTGAAGACAAGAGATGGCAGCGATTTCATTTTACACTTCATGGTAATTCCTTTGCTTCTCCAAATGTGTCTGAGTGTCACTAGAGCAACAGTTGTGATTCCAGTTCTATGTCAGATCTCTAAGTGATGTTTACCACACTACCTACGTGTTTGAAGTGCTCAATGCACTTCAGGGCCTCCTCAGATTTGGGTAGGAATATCTTTGCCTTTTCAGCAGACTTAGCTGCCACCATTGTCTTTGTCTTTTTGTGTGATATCTTAAGACCTAATTTCTCCCCTTCCACCACTACTCTTTGTAGCAGTTTTTGCACCTCTTCTTGCAATGATCCCATCTGGTGAATGTCATCAGTGAAGCACAGATGACTATTTTTTCATCCACCAACAGGTACACCCTCCTGTAGGTTTCCATCCCTAAAATTTCTTCAAGATAACAGTTGAAGAGGGTCAGTGATAGCATGCAACCCTGTCTGACACCTATCCTCAAGTCAAACCAACTACTTTGCTCACACCCTGAAGCCATTGCATTTCCATAGAGAGATTGTATCAGACTTATGACATTTTCACCAATTCCACTCAGCTGCAGGATTGCCTGAAGAGATTTGTGCCATGTGCTGTCAAATGCCTTAGCAAAATCCACAGAGGGATGGGCCAAATTCCCATCATTTCCATCACTTTCTCACACAGCACATACAGATTGAATATTTGCTCCACTGTACCTCTTTTGGGCCCAAACCCAGCTTGTTCTTTAGCCAGAAAGTTCTTTATCTTGGGCGCAATTCTCTTCAGGATGATGTGCAATAATATTTTGCTCTGATGTGTCAATAATGAGATAGCTTGGTCTCCCTTTTTAGGAATAGGAACCATCAGGGATTGTGTCCAAGTCTTGGACCATTTACCAGACTCCCAAATCACATTGACAAGCGTATGGTATACCCAGATGAGTGCCTTTCCACCACTTTGAATTAGTTCTGCTTGTATGTTATCCATTCCAGGGACCTTATTGCTTTTCAGTGTCCACATCACATCTTCAACTTTGTAGATTGGAGGAGGAGGTTCATCAGGATAAGTCAAGCTTCTCAAGTAGATCCCCTCTGCCTCTTTCACTTCCAACTTAGAGTTCATTTTGATCATATTATACAGTTATCAGCAATACTTACCCCAAATGTCGGGTGAAATGGTATTTTTTCCTGCCAAGGAAATCTTTCAAAAGAGTTTTGATGGTTTGGTAGGCTTTCCTAATGGCATTTGCTACAAAGGATTCTGTATATCAATCCACTGTTGTTCAAGCCAATCTTCTTTTGCCACTTTAATCAGTGCATCTATTTATCATGTCATATGGGAATATTGCTCTCTTGCAAACTGCAAGAGAGCAATATTCCCATCTGACATGAGAGAACCATCTTCTTTTGTTCTCTCTTAGCGTCCTTCATTGATCACACAATTTGATAATATTCTCCATGTGTGTCTTTGTCTGGAGTGGCTCACAAGCAAGAATACCAACAACAGGGCAGACTGTTAAGAAGAAGGGCACAAACCCCCAGACTTATTGTGAGTTCTGTATGTAGATTTCACCAACCAAGTAACAAGTGTAAACTCCTCAGGCACAATACAATTGTCAAGCTGCCTTTGTTAGAAATCACAGGCCAGAGATGAGAGGCAGGAATGAGGCAAAGAGATGATGTCACAGTCTCCAATTTATACCTCCATATACCTGGAAAAATACTGTCTCAAACATGGAGTCGTGAATCACATGTTCTAGTGCCTTGCTGAGTCATGAGGCATACATTGTCTCTGTGCTCATTGAGGCATCTTCAGGAGGGGCCCACTGGAAGAGTTGATTCTCCTTAATGGCCCATCAGCACATGGCTGGCTAGTCTCAATGTAAATCTGTTTTGTAGGTGTTACCCAGGAACACAACATATTTGAGACACAAACACATAGCAAAGTTTCATGACTTCATACCAGTGATAATACATGCATTTCAACAAGACAGCATTGTTCAACAGATCACAGCTCTTCCAATGATACCTTACAAGGCACACTTTGTACAAGATTTATTGCAATTTTATAACAGTGGTGACTATATTAGTGCAAACAGTCATCTCCCTTTTTATATGGCATCACAAAAGCCTTAACATGGAGTCACAGACAGTACCCTTGGGCATTCTGAAACACTCTGAAAAACAACACTTGTAGTCAATCCTATAGTAAACTACGGATTTATTAACTAAGAAAAAGAAATGAGCGTTATTTACAAGGTTAAAACAGGTAAACACACACACAAATGAGCTGCAGTCTTAGGTTTCAGATGGCAATAGAGCTGCTGAAATAAGTCAACTCTATAAATCCTTTCAGGCTAACCCAGGTTAATCCTGGGGATCTCTTGCTAATGTTTAGGAATCTTTACCCTTAGAGTCCAAACAGCATAAAAATACTTTAATTCCTTCTGGTCAGAGATTTTTATCCCCATCTCCATAGAGTCCAAGCTGATGTGATGAGTCCTTCTGGACATCCCCCTTCACGTGCTGGGAGTAATCAACAAAGTCCTTGTTCTCTGATAGCTTACAATGGCCCATTTGGATTCAATAGGCCTTCCTGATGGGCTAGAGATAACCCATCCTCATGGGTGCAAACCAGTATTTCACACTTGGTGATGTTTCTTTCCTGACTGGATTTACAGTTTCAGAGCAAACATTTTTATAGTTACAAAATAGACACTTAAGTATTACCTTATAATATGGGTTACAGATACCATAAGTGAGATTAATGCTTGCAGCAATTTACAAGCATTTCATAAAGTCTAAACACATTGTTACAAGTATAATACCTATGTTAGCTATACAAAACACACAGGTAAGCCAGAGTGGTTTCCAGCTATGTATTTGTCACTGTTCAGTGAGGCCTGGGGTCTTGGCATGAGCTGGCACTTGGTCTGTCTTTAGGTTTTGTCTTTAGGATCTGTTTCCCTAGGAGTTCATCCACAGCCTCTGTAATGCAGCAGGAAATGTTGTGGTCTATCTGATCTATGCTACCAGTGCACAGAAATATTAAGTATTACTAAAAAAGAAATTATTGACCTCATTAGGCATGTGAACCCATTCCAGCTGAAGTTGATGAAAGTTTTGGGGAAGTGGTTTGGAGAGGGTGGCAGGACAGAGACAAAAAGGGACTCTTGGGACAGGAGAAGAAGGAAGAATCCCAAACAAACATTGCACTCTGACATCAGTCAAAGCTTGCCTCCACCTTAACTATTAGTGGTTCCACCTCCCCACCAAAATAGAACTCTCAGTTCACACTGGGGAAATGACTAAGAGGGTTTCTGCAGTGGAGCTGCAATATGGAATAGACTAGGTTCGGAGGCCCCCTGCTGGAGGCCTCATGGCCCTGCCACACCCCACCCCAGAAAAGGGCAGAAGAGAAGTCCTCCAAACTGCCTAGAGCGGCTATGTGGGACACAGTCAATCAGAGAGGCGTAAGGGAGCAGCCAATCAGGGCCCAGCAGGCTAGTATAAGACAAGCTGCAGGACCAGTAGGAGATCAGTTCCTTGCTGGAGGAGCATGGATGGTGTGTATGGCTGGCTGAGGAAATTGCAGGACCTTGGACAGGGCAGTGCTGCCAGAAGCCAGGGAGAGTCAGAAGGAATTCTGTGCTGGTTCCTCAGACTTCATCAGGGCAATGCCCTGAGGTAAGGGTGAAGATGGTGTGGGTCCATGGGGAAGTGGTCCAGGAAATTAGGGTGGTGGTGTAGCTTAGATGAAGGGACATGGTGGATGGCTGCTATCTACAGGGTCCCTGGCCTGGGACCTGGAGTAGAGGGTGAGCCTGGGTCCCCCTCACCCTATTATTCACTAGGGGAAGTGGCCTGGACTTTGAGGCAGCCCAGAAGGGGAACTGAACCTTTTCTCCTCTCAGCAGGAGAGCTGGGGCCTGAAACACCCAGAGAGGGCCAGGAAGTATGGTGCTGAGACCAGTGATAGACTATGGGACTAATTAAGGACCTAAGCCCAAGGAGGGCTATGGGGAGAGAAAGTGCGGGCCTGAACACACTTGACCAGGTGGAGCTTGTGAGAGGAGTGCACCCCATTGCAAGCAGTTATGCTTGAAACTAAGGAATGGTGAGACATCATCATTTCAAAACTAACACAGGGACTTTCCCATTGCCTCCTTTCCCCATTCCCAGCTCTGCAGTTTCATTTTTTTTTCTATTACTCCTCTTTCCCTGGCATTGGCATTTTTTCCCTCTGGTTGCCTAATTTAATACGACTCATTGGAGCCTCTGAATTCAGCACAGTATCTGTCAGAGTGCTTATCACATTCGCCTAGCACAGGGGTGGGGAAATTTTTCTATTGGGGTCATTGACCCATATAGAAAATTAGTTGGGGGGGGGGGGTCACATACAGTCCTGGAAGGGGGGCATGGAGGCTCTGGGCTTCCCCTGCAGCGGAGCAAGCAGCTGCTTGCAGCTCCAGCACTGTGGGGGAGAGGGTGTGGTGGCTCAGAGCTTTCCCAGGCTCTGGGGTGGGGCCAGAAATGGGGGTGGGGTGGGGAGTGGGCTCTGGGTTGGGGTTCAGGAGGGGGTGAGGGCTCTGGCTGGGGGTGCAGGCTCTGGGGTGGGGCTGGTGATTAGGGGTTTGGGGTACAGGAGGGGGCTCTGGGCTGGGGCCAAGGGGTTGGAAGTGTGGGAGCAGGCTTAGGGCTGTGGCAGGGGGTTGGGGTGTGGGCTCCAGAAAGGAGTTGGGGTGTGGGAGGGTGTTTGGGGTGCAGGCTCTGGGCGGCACTTACCTCAGGCAGCTCCTGGTCAGTGGCACAGCGGGGCTAAGGCAGGCTCCCTGGCTTTGTGCTGCTCCTGGAAGTGGCTGGCATGTCTGGCCCATAGGTGGAGGGGCCAGGTGGTTCTGTGTGGTGTGGGCTACTGCCACCCCCGCAGCTCCCATTGGCCATGGTTCCTGGCCAATGGGAGCTGCGGAGCTGGTGCTGTGGGTGGGGCAAGCTTGCGGAGCTTCCCTGATCGCTCCTCTGTCTAGGGGCCACAGGGACATGCTGGTGCTTGCAGCTCCAGCCTGGTGTGGGGGGCACTGAGGCTCGGGGCTTTAGGCCCACGGCACAGAGACTTGCTGCAGGCCAGATGAAATGAAGCAGCAGGCCAGATCTGGGCTGGAGGTTCCTCACCCATCACTTAACACATGCCTTTTAAAAATCCTATTCTACTCTTTTATTTATTTGTTTATTTATTTTAATCCAACCCACTCCCATAGACTGTGAAATCCCTGGTTTGAAACTGGGCAGAAACATTATGCTCCTCAAGGATCTTTTATTTCTCAGAGTAGCCTATAACCTCGAATAAGTCCTTGCAAGAATAAGGAGGTGAGACAAAGACTTCACTCAGACCTGTGCCTTGATATCATCCCAGCAAGTCAATGATTCCCCAGAGGTTTGTGCTTTGGCCTCCTCAGCAGACTAGGCCTTTGAGGTTAGCTCTTCCTTGCAGGCCTGTTTTCATTTCTCACAAACATAAGGGCTGCAAGAATATGTAAAAGCAAATTAAGCAAGCAAGGGAAAAACCTGGCTCCCCTTCATGTACCAAATATATCAACATTCCAATGTGCAATGCCCAAGAGAAGACTTCACTAATGGCCAGAATAGCTCATTCAGGAGAGCTTTATACTGAAGATTTAAAAGATCCTTTGTTTCCACAAGCATTAGCTCTGCTTCCTTTAATGTAGCTGCAGAGTCTTTTGTCACTTACAGCTCTATTTAGCTCAGCAACAGCATTTAGTCCCATCCTGTGAATGGACTCTCAACCGCTTGGGTGAAAGGTATGGTAAAACTGAGATTTCTTTCATGTTTCCTGTTCCAGTCTAGAGTTTCCTTCTGCTTACAAGTAACTTGTGGCCTAATGTCAGCACCTGTTTTTCTCCTGAATGTTCAAGGCTTCAAGCTCTCAGCTAACTACAAGAGCAGAACACAGTGCTGGATGTCTCTTAAAATAGTGATTTTTTTTTTTTAGCTTCCTGGCAATATGCCTTGAAAAATGACATGTAGAAAAATTGAAACGATTATAGTGATGATCAAGTGTTGGGACCTAAACTATGTGACTATGTCCCTTTTAACTTAATGCAC